TATTTCCTTCTGTGACAGGGCGGGGGGGGTTCTCCTGAGACTCCCAGTCATGAGAGGTTTGGCCAAGTGTCCAAATCCTTGATATGTTTCCTCAAGCAAGACTGAACTGCAGCCCTTTTCTGATCCTCTCCTTTTACTTGTGAAGACAGGGAGAGGCAGTGGCAACCCTGAACATTTTATTAGAAACAAAAACAGAGGCAGTGCGCTCAATGTTGAGAGAGACTGGTAAAACAGGCAACTCCCATTAATCCAGGCACACACTGCTGCTCATCCACAATGACTGGTAAAATAATTAGTTGTAGCAGCTAATTATCGAAGAACATATACACAATTTACTACAGCTAAAAGGACCAGGGCTTTACTGTGTGTCAACTGTTCTGTGACAGCTGCCCATATTCATGCTTTTATCCATGGAAAGAGGAAACCAAACCCGTTTTTTTTTTCATTGAAGGCTAAACTCATAGCTTAGCTTCCCCTTACCAAGGCGTAAGAGGGTGGCCATGGGTGATTATCATAGATCACCTGATGTGTAAACCCCTTTTTACCCTGTGGTAAACTGTTTGTCTATCCGTACTCTGAATATGTGACATACTTAATTAATGCAAGAGAACAAAGAGAGAAACTTTATCTTTGCATAATCATATTCTTTTGCCACTTATGAAGATTTTTGCCATTTGGAGGTAGGTGTTCAAAGGTACAAATGCAAACCTACAACTGAATTTCCAGGCAAGCTGGGTGCTGAACTGCCTTGGAAAATGTAATCCCTAGTCCAGCCCTACATTTTCATCATGAAACATAAAAGAATGCTATGTTGCATCCACTGCCAAATGTACAGAACAAATAATAGCATAAATTATTACGTGAACCCCAGGGGAAAAGTAATCATTTAGTCTATTACTAAGCATATGGTTTAGGACAAGGTATCCCACTGCTACTCACTGGTTGCTATGGATTATTATTTGTATTACAATAGCACAGCCAGAGAACAGGGCCCCAGCGTGCTGAATGGTCACTTAGGGTACATCTACTTTGCACAATGCCATGCAATGCCTGAGCTGCCTTGGAAAGAGCTAACTCACTGTCAAACACAATACAGACACTGAGAAACAGGATATACCGATAATAGCCTGGGAAGAAAGCTGCATTAACACAAATTATACTGCTTCTGGAACCCGAGCCAGGTCATTCAGAACTAGCGTGGACATCTCTACAGATCACTGCATAGTGTCTTGTAAATGTACACTGAGTAAGAGCTTACCAAATAGACAACAGGAGGAAAAAAAATGTTACTGGCTGCATCTACATCAGGGGCAGGCAAGATCCAACCTACCAGGCCATTCTATCTGGCCTGCAAGGACCCTAAAAAAATTAGTAAATTAATATTTATTTGCTCCTGCCTGCCTGTCAAAGATGACAGGAGCCGGGGCAGTAGGACCCAGGGGGAGCTGGCAGAACCGAGAAGCCCAGCCCCTCTCCACCCGCAGCCATTTCCCTCCCTTCCTGCCCCTGTACTGCTTCGGCACCAAATGGTGGGAGAACTATAGTGGCTCCTGGCTGCATCACTGGACCAGGGAGCATGGGCTGCGCAGGTATGTGTGTGTGTGTGTGCATGT